ACATAGGGATTCAATATCTGCCCACTCTTGGCACCAAAATTTGTTCTTGCCCCCTTTTCATAGTCAATAAAGAATGAAGTCTTCAATGCTCCCTTGTCATATCCTCACTTGATTTCTTCTTTCTTTAGGACCTTGAAGCCTTGCCTCCTCATTTTCCTCCTCTATTAACTTTTATGGCTCAAAACAAACTAATAGCTTGCCATCAAAACTTTTGAAACGTAACCCAAAAAAAGGATCAACTCTGTCAATGTTATTCAACACCCATTTGGAAGCTTGCAACCACACTAAATCCCAAACTTGCAAGGCACTCCAAACCAAAAATGTTTCCCTTTCCCAATCCACCCACCCAACACATCAAACCCAAGAAATCATCACTAATTCCAACCCAAGAAGTAGACCTCTAACAATATTGACTCTAAATTAAGCTTAATCATGTATATTTTTACTAAAATTTATTAAATAACAATTAACTAACATATAATTCAACTAATCATATATTAATTTTATAAACAAAACTTAAATAAGGTATAATCCAAAATGAAATTTAAATAGCACATGTATTGAATAATTTTATATTTTGCTCTCCTTACCAAATTTGTTTCCACCAAACATTCTACTTTTCTTTGTTAAATCCTCTCTCTAATGATGATATTTCCTATCTCGTCATGTTTTGTAAATATACCAAACACTACCTTAGCATTGCAGATAGGAAAAAAGAAAAACTATTTTAAATTGTGTCAAAAACAATTGTACATAATATTCCGTCCAGCTTAGTAAATGATTGGTGGTAAGCTGTACGCTATCAATCACATTATTATGGGAAGCTCTTTTTTAAGAAAAAACAGATTATTCAATAAAACATTGGCAGTGAGGTGAATCCATCAGATTACACAGACAGACCATAAACAAAGCTGATTTCAAAATTTCCAATTGGTACCTGTAATCAAGAATCCTGCAGTCACAATCCTTACAAAAGTAATATGAGTATGGAGTTATTCGCAGGAAACGGATCTGTAGCAATGCAACGGCAGCTTAATAATTTTAACAACAAAATTTCTTGTTAGAGCCAATTTTTCAACATATAGCAAGGTTACCAGAGAGTAAAGTTCGCCAACACGATTCTGAAGGGGAGTGCCACTCAGAGCCCATTTATAGGAAGATTCTAAAGCAAGAACAGCCCTAGCAGTGTTGCTACGTCTGTCTTTTATGGAATGAGCCTATATCAGAAACCAATTATTAATAAATCTAACAAATAAAATAAAACAAACTATAATAAAGACAAGCTTGCGATAGAAGAAGCCATGGTATGAAGTTCTGCAACAAATTATACATGCACATATTGGTTTATAGCTGAAAACAGAACTAGAAAAAGAGATGAAGATACTCCCAATATGATCTTCGTAAACACTAACAAAAGAAACTAATGGAGCCCAACTATTAACATGGTGGGTGTGCATTAGGAACAGATTTTCTAGTATCGGAAAGCGTGTGTATGGATAGGGTTTGAGAGAATCTATATGGACACAGGATGAGTGTCTTTTGTACAGCCAATGTTTTTTTCTCTTTCTTGCTTGTACCCTGCGGCAAGTGCCAAGAAAGCCATGGTGCTTTCCCAGACCAGAAAATTCCTGGCCATAACTTTTGATGTCACTTTTTGGGGAAGAAAAGGCATTTAGGTGAGTAAAAATGAAAGGAGATTTAGGTCGACTATCACTTTCAGCAAGGACGAAGTCGAGTGGCTGTTGGGTGACCTACAGGAGTTTTATTGGATGAGAGGAGGGGAATTCTATGGGCAGAAAACCATAATCTCTGGGTGGCTATGGGGGCAAACAACCGGGGTGAGTTTTTGTTACTACAATGAAGAAAGAGGAGGAATCGAGGTGCATCTTATCCCAACGGGTCCACAAGCCGGATAGTGGTGGAGGATGATGGTGGCATTGTTCAAAATGATGGGGGAGGAAGTTTAAGGCACCTAAGCAATCATATGAGCTAAAACCGAGCACCCACAAGGAGAAGCAATACTCGTTAATGGTCCAAATGCCCATCGGTGGTCCACAACACCATTCCTAGCATGTTGCAATGCCCAAGCTGTAAGGTGGAGGCAATCATAAGGCTGGAGATTAGGGGAAAGAGGAACTTTGCTGCTGTGGTGAAGAAGGGTAAAAGAGAGGGGAGTTGATTAGGGAACAAGACCTAATTTCAAGATGCATCGAGTGAAATTTAAATTTCACCAAAACACCAAAAAGTTGTGTCGTATTAGGAAGGTAAGGCCTTGAATGGGCCTCAACCTAAGCAGCCCAATGATGAGATGAAGGTTGGCAAGGGACTAAAATTTAGCCAGGCCGAGAGAGAAAAATGCAAAAACAAAGCGGGTTTGTGCCCCTGCATGAGCAGTGATCCCTAACCCTCAAGAAGAAAAAAATACCTAACTTGAGTATTGAGAAGAAGGAGCAAATCCCTAAATAGCAAGAGGTGAGGACTACAAGGGGACTCCAAGACGGATATTGACAATGGGGAAGGCAACAAAGAAAGGGGAGAGTGTAGTAGAATCAGGGAGGAAGAAGAAACAGGAGAAGAAATGGCCCTAGAAGTATTAAAAGGGGAGGTCACATTGGAAACCTACTGAGAAGGCCACTGGGGCTTCTATTTTGAAGCTGACAGTGAGAACTGGGGCTGATGGGGAGTTTGGGATGGAGAGATGATTGTAAGATGCTGCATTGTTCCCGACGAAAAGGGAATAGGGAGACTGAGGGAGGGCTGAATGAAGAAGACAATTCTAGATAGGTCCTAGAGAACATACAGCAGATCAATAAAAAGTTTGTGGTCCATTTTGATGGATCCCACGAGTAGGCCATGATTGTCTTCAAAGAAATTGAGAGAAGGAAAAAAGAGAAGGTGGATGAGGGACGGTCACAACCTATGGGCAAGAGTAGGCAAGGGATTGATAGGGCAAGAGAATTGAAGAGGTTGTGACCAACCATCAACTACGACAATCCGAGGAAAGGGGAAAAGAAGGGAGAGGAGGTGATTGTGAAAGTAACTCAATGTTAGGACGAATCATCTCTTGAAATATTAAGGGAATCAATGATCACAAGAAGAGGCAGATGATAAAGGATTGTACAATAAGATGGAAACCTGAGGTAATTGCCTACAGAAAACTAAGGTAAAACTCCACTCTGGCTGGCATGACCCACAGCCTTTGGAAGATTAGGTAGATTTGACGGAAGGAGTTTTTTGCTAATGGGGCAGCTGATGAGATTCTTGTATTATGGGATGAAGGACTTCTTAGCTACATGAAGGTTTTGAATGAGGATTGTTTTATCTCATGCCTATTTAAAGATAGAAGAAATGGGTGGAGGTGGGTGTTTACCAGGATATATGTGGTGGAGGTAAAGGGACAGAAAGGGGCAAGTTGCAGGAAGACTTGGACGAATCTAAAAGAAAACAGGATAACTCATGGATTGTTGAGGGCAACTTTAATATAGTTTTGCAGAAGCAGAAACAATTAGGGGAACATTTCTCCAAGATTTGTGCTAATAAATTTTGGGAGACTTAAGATAAGTTACAATAACCGCATTTGCCTCTCATGGGAGATAAATGGCCATGGTCCAATCAAAGATCAAATCCGGCTAGCTCCAAAATTAACAGGTTTTTTTTTTTTGTAAGTATCATGTCAATTTTAGATATCAGACTATGTAAAAAACTTTTGCAACATACTATCTCCAATTGTTTCCCCATTTGCTTAGACTCTAATGCAATAAAATGGAGCCCCATGTACTTTCAGGTCTAGAATAAATTGTTAAACGTAATGACTTCCTTAAAATCAGAAAATGGTGGAGATGGATGCGAGTGGAAGGAAATGCTAGTTACAGAGGTGCTAGGAAGTTGGAGGTGGTTAAGACTAAAATCAAAAGGTGGCGTAAGAAGGAGTGGGGGATAGAGACAGTACTCACTCAGTTTCTACTCCAGGACCTTGAGGATCTGGACCATTTGGAGGGGAATGGTAGATTGTCTACTAAATATTTAGCTCGCAGAGAATCTATAACGCCTAGAGGTGGCAAACAAATGCAAATGCAAATGCAAGAGATACAAAAATCGAAAGCAAGATGGATAAAAGGATGGGGATAGAAATATGAAATTCTTCCACTTATGGTAAATTACCACCGGAGAATCAAATGTGAAGTTAAATATCAATGGCCATTTGGTGAAGGGGAACAAGGAGTTGATTAAGGGGGTCAATGATTTCTTCAGCAGATTATACTCTTTAAGGATTTTAGTTGGAGGCCTAAGTTGGATGGCCTAGATTTTATATCCTTGGATGATCAAAGCCGTGAATCTCTCAAAAAGAAGTTCTCTAAGGAGGAGATAGTGGATCACCATGTCCAAGACCTCTAAAAGCCTTAAAAAAAAGACAGACACTCATTCACCATGACTGCAAAAGATTTAGTAATACAAAGTTTAATTCACTTTCCCCACTTGTCCCCAAAACCCATCCTCCTCAGCATATAATCAACAAAACCTCAACTGACACGATCATAAGCCTTCTCCCTAGCCTCTTGCCTCATCTACTCATTACTCTTAACTAGCCAATAACCAATCTCCATCTCTTCCACATAATTAATCCTTCTATGGTGATTAGTCATACTATGGAAATATTTTGTATTCTTGTCTCCCTCCTTTACCTGCGGGCTCTCGATTTTTGTCTTCACGAAATCTCCTCCATCTGTATACTATTTGCCAGTTCGAACTTGAGGGACTCCCTACGGACAAGTCTTCAATGGACACATCACCTCCACTCTTCCTCCTATCAACTGTCTCAATATTCTATGGTAAAGATTGAATACGCATATATTCCCTTCTTCCCTCCTCCTTGCACCACTTTTTGACTTCAGTTTTTACAACCTTCATTTTGAGCAACTTGGTAACTTACCTTACCTCTAACTATAGTCGCCCACCACCAATCACTAACCTTGTCACTAAAGCCCTTCACTTCTCACCACTTTTCCTCAAATTTGAATGGAATAGGTCCCCATTTAATTCCATTAGAAACAAGACAAATAGAAAAATGATCGGAGATGGGCCTCTGCAATAGCTTTTGACAAAGGCACGTTGTTTGTGAATGGCACATCATTGACACCAAAAATCTATCTATTTTAAAGCACACCGAATTGAGTCTTTGGTTAGACCAAGTTCATTTACCTTCCATAATATAAGTCCATTAAATCAAGCTTATCCAAAATCTCCTCAAACTTTTCAGCACAAACTCTCAAAAAATACTCACTAGTCCTCTCTCGTCTATTTGAGACCATATTGAAAACCTCTCCCACTATCCATGGGCAATCCCACTTTTGCTTGCAAGTCTCCAAGTCCTCCCACAATAAAACTCTCTCATTGCTTTCCCCTCTGTTATAAACTCTAGTAACCATTCATTTCGATCCATTTCTATAATCTTCAAAAAGGCACGAAATTGAACATTTACCCAATAACTAGTACACTTCATCCTCCCATAATGAGATTGAAACTCGAAATCCCCTCCCATTCTCACTCTCCTTTATTCCTTCCATTTTCCTCTCCTCGGAGACCACATCAAAAGTCATACTCTCTAGGCGGCAAGTCTGGTTGTTTAGTGACTTGTGGCCCAAACCCTAGTAGGTGCACGTACACAACAAATCTCTTTTGAACTTGATAAATACTAGACCACTCGTCACAACTCACCAATTAGTAGACCGACATGCAATTGTCAAGGCTGGTACATTCTCTAAGTGTAAGATTCTACTTCATCAGTTAGACATCAAGAATGTCTTTTTCAATGGAAACAAATCATGAAGACCATGTAGTTGGTAGGGTTAGAGTCAATGGGATTAGAGACCAATCAATATGAAGGCTCAATGCTAGAAGGACTTTATCTATCAGATCTTTCAATAATCACTTGACTAAAAGAGAAGTCATGGGTACTGACTTTCCATTCCAACAATGTGGAAGGCTAATACTCCATCTAAAGTTGCTTTTTTTGCTTGAGAAACTGGTGGAAGTTGCATTTTAACTCTAGATGAGTTGATTAGGAGGGGGCAGGATTTTGGTGAATGGTTGCTTCTCATGGAAAAGGGAGGCTGAGTCGTGTATTCATATCTTTTTGTGGTGTCATTTTGTGTATAAATTGTAGACCTTGCTTATGGCCTCTTAGGTATTAATTGGATGATGGTTGGTTCGATGCAAGAAGAAATTTGGGTGTGGAAAAGAATCAGTGGTGTGAAAAAGCATGTTAACCTCATTTCCCTTGCTACTTTTTGGGCAATGTAAAAAGAGAGGAACAAAGCATGGAATGTGATTTTAGTGGGCTAGAAGATAGATGGTCTACACCCTAAGTTGTTTAACTATGGGTCATTCTCTCTACTCACTTGAGAACTTCGGAAACCTTATTGATATTTTGATGGATATGTAAATAATATTGTACATAGGTTTAAACCCCTTGGGACTTGTGAATGAATCTTACTATACTATTTTTATTTCAAAAGAAAAGAAAAGCCTGGCTATTAACACAGAAACAATCAATTGGTAAAGAAATCACTTCTCTTTTTGTGTAATGACTTTCTCATCCACATTAGTAAGGTCCAAGCCAATGCATACTACGCAAATTGATAATAATCTGGCATAAAGGACTGCGTCATTTATAGAAAAATTTTGGAATAGGTTACTAATAATTTACTTCAATTACCACAAGTCTGCCAATTCATCAGTTTGACACTTATTCAACTGCCTTACTGTTTCCTACAGGATTTCAATAAAGATCAATGTGTTACAATGCATTTAATCTAGTATTTTCCAACCAATCAAGACAGTGCTAAAAATATAAAGTTGGGGGTGAAGCTGTTTGGGATTTAATCCATTCAATATTCTTAGTATTTTTCCTAAAAAATTACTTTCTAAGGTCATGAAGGATTTATGTTCCTTCCACAAAAAAGGAGTTCAATAATATGGCAACTAGAGAATGAATGAACAGATTCAACCATTCCTCCATCATGGCTTACAGCAACTTACCTCATCCAGGATGATACGGTTCCATTTCATAGAGTGCAGAACAGACTTCCCCCTAGACAAGCTCGATTCATCGTCTGCTGAATTTCCCAATTCAACCAGAGCTTCTTTTTCTTCTTCAAGTTGCTCTGATGTCTTTTTCCCAGTTTTTTTTCCCTTATTAACTTCATACCCATTAGCATTCCCTTTGCCAGATTCTGCATCCTGCTTTGACCATGTTGATGAAACTTTCACCTTTTTCTTCATTTGCTTAGACTGGTTCAGTGTTCTAATAGCAGTAGGCCCACAAAAATATCTCAGATGGAATGAAAGCCTTTTTCGCTGATATTGATTTCCACAGTATGGGCATCTGTCCTTGGGTGGCATCATATATTTCCTATATTCATTCTCAACGATTGAATAAGTTGTGATTACAAAATCATAATCTGTGAACTGTCTAGAACTCTTCCCTCTATTTGCCCCATGATAAACAAGCACCTTAGTGCTCCCCCTGGAAGTAAACCGTTCAATTTCGCTAACCCATTGAGTCACGGCAACGACAGGACAAATAACAAGGGTACCTTGGAGTTCTAGCAAATCTCTTGATGATCTTGGTGATGGAGAGCGTACATCACGTATAGAGATTTCCGGGCAGGTTACACG